GACTGTTTTGTTTACACAACGGAACAAGGCAAGCAGTACTTTTATTTTTCTTCACATAATCCTTATCTTCAATTTTCTTTTGTTATTGTCCTTGAAGTTCCTGTGCATTACTATTTTTTCTGTTGAAATTAACGGTGATCTTGCTTTGGTTTTTTGTTGAGTAACAACAGTACCATACAACGGCATCGACAACAGTTTTCCATTTGTTAGGTATTTCTTTTTTTTTTTTAGCAAACAGTATCAGGTCATACTGTCGTTGTTTTGCTGATTATTGAATGTTTCAATTTTTTCTATGTCGACAAATAAATACTGTTGTCATTTGTTTAGAATAAAAATTGGGTCTATCATTGATGACTTTTTTTGTTGTTTTTGTTGCCTTTTTTTTTCTTTATTTGCATTCTTTGTACTAAATAACGTAAAATGTACTAATAGTTCATTTTGAACAGCTGCAATTTTTTTTCACCATTGATAATCATCAGAAAAAAGAAAAGAAAAACAAAGGGCAAAAAAAATAAGAATAAAATGAAAAATAAAAAGACAAGAAAGACGAAAATCTTAGTTTGGATTTTTTTCTGTTGTATCGTAATGGTTTCAAGTGTTGTCAGTGATATTTGAGACGTTTCTTCATCTTTTATTTTCACTTTTTTTTTCATCTCATCCAAAACGTGATTCATTTGACAATTTCAGATTTGTAAAGCGTAATATTATTTTTTTTTCCTTTTTATTTTCTTTGCCCTAAATAATTGTTTCAATAGCGGCAAAAAAACATTGGCTTTTTTTTCTTCTTTCTTTCCGTTCATTTTATGAGTTAATGAACAGTGACAAGTCTAGCGACACTTCATATTTCAACATATCGAGGTTCAAACTTGATGCTAAAGAGGGTTTGAGAAAAAGATAAAGTGTTCAGGAAATCTATATGATTTTTTTGATGTGATCAAACACAACGGGTTGCCTTCTTCTTCAGCTGCTGTTGCTGCTGCTTCTGCTTCAGTTTTTTTTTTGTCTTCGTTTTTAAGAGCTAATAAATATTGCAAAATTTCCAGATTTCACTACAGTGAATTCCAGTACACTAAAAAATGTTCTGATTATTCTGCGTTATTATTCCAACTAACAAAACAGTGTTCGGTTTGATCATTGTCTTCATTACGGTTTGGTTATATGAAGTTGTTGGCGTTAAATTTAGTTACCATATTGTTAGCCAGTTTATCAGTTGATTTTGTTACTTAGTCTTAAAGGTTATTTTTTTGTTTCAGGTAAGATAAACAGTATCTAAGCTTCAAGAAAAAATAAAAAAAACTTATTTTTCAACATGCCTTTCAAGCCAATTGAACATCCAAAATGCCCAAAATGTGGTAAGTCAGTGTATGCCGCCGAAGAAATGGTTGCTGGTGGTTATAAATGGCACAAATTCTGTTTTAAATGCAGTAAGTGATCAAGTTTTTTATTTTGTTCAATTTAATTTTTTCATTTTTTATTTAGATATTTTTTCTTCACTGCATGTAACCAAATTTAGCTGTCAGAAGATTGTTTGATTTTTTTCTTGCTTAAGATAGAAGTTTTTATCAGGACAATCTGTTAGGTGCAAACAGTTAGCAGTTATTTTAAATGTGTGTTTGTTGTAGTCACTGGTTTGGTAAAGATTTTTTTTATTTATATCTGATACTGTTGGGCTCTGATAAATCAGGATTTTGCAAAAAAAGAATTCTTTGTTGGATTTTATATAAAAATAGCTTCGTTTACAACGATACTGGATAATGTGAAGATAAGAAATGTATCCTGCAATTTTTCATCGATACATTGCTTAATAGCATTGGCCAAACTTTATTCATCTTTGCTTATCACCATTCCACTATC